ATTAAATAATATATTAAATAATAAACAGGTTTTCAGTCGGAGCATAAATATGCGCAGAAATGGCGCATTGTGTGTCTCCCTGGCGACCAACCGGAAGCGGAACTTCGGTGGCGACATGTCGAAGAGCCGAATGAATTATGTGAGAATCAAACGGTCCGTGTAGCTGTTCCCGCTTTTAACTGTGAGGTTTTAGTGCATATCTAGCTCATATCTCCTCTACTTGTTCGTTTTGGCCCATTAAGGTAAGAAAATCCGTCCCCGCTGTGTCAGAGCCAGGCTGTAAAAGAAAAATAGCCCGTTAGCTTGAATATTAGCCCACAACAGAGAATGGGTGCGCTTCATTTACACACGCTGGCGACCCCGACGCACCTTGGTTCGGTCACGTAACGGTTCATTTGGCGGAGATTTGAAAACTCCGCCCAGTCGGGACTACACGTTAATAAAATCAAAGCTCCCCTGGACATTAAAGAAAATAAAACTCAGATTAGTAACTAACAGAATAACGTTGGTGTCTGTGGGAGGTTGTAAACTTATAATAACTTATAATGTGCTTCTATAACCGCTTTATAAGGGAGAACATGAATTATACGTGTACAGAAAATAAACTGAATCTGTCTTTATGTTTTCAATAAAGAAATGTGAGCAACAAAAATGATTTTGTCATCAGTTGTAGTAGATTTATTTTAACAAATAAAGATAGCCTTACCTTAATTTAAATATACATTGCATTCAAGCACAGAAGAATTAACCATAAGATGCACTTTTTTTTTTTTATTTCTGTATGAAAGTATTTTGTTATTATTCCTGTATTAAAGTAAATACCTAAAACCAAATCTACCTTTGGGTACAAATAAAGTAACCTTGACCTCCTCCAGAGCCACAAACTTCAGCTGTATTAGAGGCTCAGCAGCACCCTGATGAGTGAAGTGATCTTGTGTGTAAATATGATATGAATTCATCCTTGAGTTCTTGTTTTATTCCAGGACACTGTAACCCTAACTGTAGGTCTTTTAAAAGATAAATAACATATTTAAATCTTCCTTATCGCTCACCAGGGGAGGATGAGTGCGGAGGCGGCGGACCGGGTAGCTGCTGTGACCAGCAGTCGGCCCAGCACACCTCTTCAGACTTCTTGGTTTGAGTTCCTCCTGGATGGCAGCCTGCTGGAGAAACACCTGGAGAGCTCAAACGCAGGTCAGCTCAGAGATACTAGCGGCCTCCTAATCAAATAAACCAAGTTATTAACAAGATTTCAAGGATAGTCCAGTAATGCTGATTCTCCTCCATCAATAAACATCATGGTTGGATGTATTTCTTCATTCATAATGTGTTTATGTGTGTGTTTCCACAGACCCGGCACCAGTGCAGCTGATCATCCAGTTCCTGGAGCAGGCGTCCAAGCCCTCAGTGAACGAGCAGAATCAAGTGCAGCCTCCAGCAGACAACCGCAGGAACCGCACCCTGAAGCTGCTGGCACTGAAAGTAGCTGCGTACATGAAGTGGGATCTGGATGCTCTTGAGAAAGGGTAAGTGTGTGTGAAAGACTCTTTAATCTTCTCTAACGTGGAGGAAGTCAGTGTAACATAAAGCTTTCATGCATGCTTTCAGATATTTGTTTTGTAGTGGATAATGCGATCCTCAGGGTTCCCTGGAAAACCTGGAAATTTAGAGACTAGTTTTCCAGTCGTGGAAACACCTGGAAATGTATTATAACAACCAAAATATCCTGGAAATAATCTATGTTGTGATTTATCCTTCTTTCCTGGCAGTTTGACCATTCCAGTATTAAATATGTTACTGAACGAGCTGCTGTGTGTGAGCAAAGTGCCGCCAGGGGTGAAACACGTGGACCTGGACCTTTCCACTCTGCCCCCTACCACAGCCATGGCTGTCGTCATATACAACCGCTGGTGAGTAAACACACACAATCCTCTGAGGTCAGACACACCAGTAAGACAGCTGGTCGGCAGAACGAAGTGATGCACTGTCCTATCTCAGAATGAACTACTATAACTCTGAAATGGAGTAGGAATATAGATGAAAAGGGATTAACCGATTAAATAAAAAGAATAACAAAGAACTGTAACTGTCTCCATGTTTAATTCCTATTGTGTCTTTCAAAGGGCGATCCGAACCATCGTGCTGAGCAGCTTCCCAGAGAAACAGACCAAACCAGGACCTCACCAGATGAACATGTAAAACCTGCTCCTTCCTTCCTGTTACCACACTTTTGAATTTTTAACAAAACTGAACTTACTCATGCTTATCTGAAACTCATAAACAGTACGGCGATAGTATATTGTTGTCTTGTGGCCTTTCTTAGGTTAAGTATTGTGCAGCAGGAGAAAGAGATGACTGATAACATCCTGACTGTGGTGAGTTAACATGTTTTTTTTTTAATGTACTAATTCAAAATTCTGTGTCTAAAACAATGTCATGAAATATACTTTACATTTCTGTGTGCCAGATAGTTCTGATTTCATCACATCTTCGTCCAGTAATCCCTGATTCGTCCCCGTTCTCAGTCTAAGAAATTGTCTCATAGGTGAACTGATCAAAATATACTTTCTTCCTGACGCCCTCAGCTGAAAGAGCAGGCGACCGACTCCATCAGTGTCCTGGAAGGAGCTCTGCAGCTGAAGAAGGACTTCTACGTTCACACCCTGAGGACTCTGGATCTGCTGGCTGCTGATGCTGCTGCCAACGGGGAGACCGAGTCCTCGACTGCAGGACTTCGCATCAGTGCCGACGAGCTGCACTGTCAGGTTAGTGGACAACACAGTGCTCTCGCTGGGATTCATTTTGGGCTTCTGAATGCAGATTACATCAGTGTGTGCTTTGCAAACTTTGCATATACTTGTGTTTAATTGGGTGAGCTGAACCCATAACTGGCCTAATTTGTATCTTTGTGTTTCAGGTGCATTATGATGTAGGATGTATTTTCTTCCAGCAAGGCTGCACAGACCAGCCAGCCTATCAGAAAGCCCGGGATCACTTCAGACAGACAAAGGAACTGTTAAAGAAGGTATTTCTACTACAAAGTTACAGTGGTGTCCTGGAATTACAACAGTTTTTCTCAAATATCTTTATATTTTTCAGCTGGACTCGACTGTCCACGTTCACCTGGATGAGAAACGTCTGGCTGGCTACTGGAACGCCTGCAAAGCTTTGACTCAAGACTGTGACTCAGACTCCCAGACTACACCCTACGATCAGATCAACAGTCTGATCCGGGCGCACAGCTACCAGGTCCGAGCCGACGCCGCAGTGACAATGACGCCAAACATTTGTTTTGTAAAAATATAAACGTATTAATAATTTGCACCTCCTCTTTCTGACAGGCTGTCATTGAAGCCTTCATCAAAGACAACGTGTCCCGTGTTTTGCCAAACAACTTCAGACGCTCTGTTCTCAGGGAGTTCCTCTACAAAGTCCAACTAGGGTAAGTCCACCATCAAAACTAATTAAAACATGACATGCATTGAAACTATGTACAGCTTGTATTCACAGGTTACCCAGGTTGTCACAGAGTATTAACTTGTATTTCCTCTGATATTAGTTTATACTGCGGACAGTCCAGCTGGGTTTCTTTATCTGCGCAACCACAAACAATCTGTTTCTAACCCTCTGCAGGGAGTCGGGTCTGGATGAGGTTTGCCACAAGCTGTGTGTTTGCAACGCCGTCCGAGATGCTTTGGAAGGAGAAGTTCTCAGTGTGCATTTCCAGCAGCTCCTCCTCAAACCCAGTAGAAGGACTGTCGACTTCATTTTAGAGGTACTCACCTTCACCTTCTGTGTGTCCTTTGAGATTCTCGCAGGAGAAATTCATGCTTCAAACAGCTTAGAGCTTCAACTAATAAATGTACAAACCTCGGCACATACAGAGATTTAAAGCAGCAACAAGGAACTTTTTTATTTTGTGTTGATTCTGACGGCCCCTGTGGACAAAAGTGGTAATGTTTCTGCTGCCTTGTTTCATTGATTTCAAGGGGAAACTGACTGAATCCGACTGGGTGGCAGGCATTAAGAATAAATATATAGAAATAGCCAATCTTTTCATTGATGGTCTTGTGTACTTATGTACATTAATGTACATATACAGGCATCAGTATTCAATTGAGAGTTTTATAACCAGTTAAAAACTCTTTGTGGTAGGTTTAAGTCTGACTTTGTTACTGATACATCCATCTTTCATGGGAAGAGGTTTTATGACAAAAGGTTTGAGGAGTCCAGTGTGTAATTGGGGACTGACCTGAATGTTTCTCATGATGTTAAAATTGAAGCTACTGCATGTTTAAATCCACTTGTCTTTGTCCTGCAGGTGTGCACACTTTCGCTGGAGAAGGACCGTCCGTCTGAAACATCAAGGAAACACATGGCCAATTTTATGAAGTGAGTGATGGCAAATAAAGTGACCCCCGACTCTGCTAAGTAAAACAAATGTCGAGGAGGGTTTCTTTAAATTATTCCACACTGCTGTACTAGCTGAAGTGACAATAAAACCTTTTATAAAAGAAATATCAGAACCTACAGCTGGTAATGTACCCTAATCATTACAACATCTTTTAAATGATACTGTTCCTATCCTGCAGGACTCTGTGTGAAAGCTTAGAGGAGCTGCCTCTGCTGTTTGTGGTGTCGTCTCATAAACTCTTCATGGACCTGTTGAAGGAGGAAGAGAGGAAGGTCCTGATGGAGCAGATGAGGAAGAGGTCGGCCACAATCAACCTCAGCGCCAAGCCTCTGCCTTCTTTCTACGACATTCCAGGTACAGCACTGAGAATATCTAATAGATACTATCGCTGTCACTGAATATATGTATGTAAAAGTGTAACTGTTTGTTGCTGGTTATGAAAACGTATGTGTGCTCTGTGGACCTGGCTTTAATGCATTTGGCTTCTTCCCTCCGCAGCTTCAGCGAGTGTGAACATTGGGCAGCTGGAGCAGCAGCTCATCCTCTTACTGGAGCCGCGAAGGATCAGACAGATCCTCATTGAACTCCACGGCATGGCCGAACGACCCTACTGGAGGGTCAACAGTAAGGTCAGAGGTCAAAAGATACTATACTGGTAGAGCAATAAAACTAAAAAAATTCAAGATTTTGTATTTTACCTTAAATATATATATAATAACCCTCCTATTAAGAGATTCACTTACATTCACACATTGCTTTGTTTGTGTGTACAGTGGGAAGTTCCTCCAGACTACATTAACGTGATCCTCAGCATTAAAGACAACCTGACAAAGGACCTGGTTTACATCCTCATGGCCAAAGGACTCCACTGCATATCAATAAAGGTGTGCTCACATGATCAGTTCTCAGAAATACATATAATGGAAAACAAAACAATTGGTGAATTATATTTGAGCTCCCTGTCTTGACGTGCTGTTGACTATTTTATTCCAAAAGGATCCAAATTTTTAGCCACAAACCTTTAAACCTTAACTGGTACAAAGGCATCAACAAGTGGTATATCTACTATTCTAAGCAGTGAGAGGTAGAAATATTAAATACTTGGTGTTTTTCTGTCGTCTCAGGACTTTGCCCATGCACGGCAGCTTTTCTCAGCCTGCCTGGAGCTCGTCACTGAGTTCTCCCCGAAGCTGAGGCAGATTATGCTGAATGAGATGCTGCTGCTGGAGGTCCGCGCACACGAGACGATGGCGGCAGAGGGCAGCAAGGAGCGACCGCCCCCCGACCTGGTCAGCAGGGTCAGAGGATACCTGGAGATGAGGATTCACGGTGAGTGGATGGAGACACTGTGGCCTGGTCTTCATCTATTCATCGATTTTGGGCTGTGTGTTTATCCATGTTACTCTGGTGCTGCATGCAATAGTTATTTGCTCATTATAATTAATACTGCAGTGGAATTAGGAACTTTTAGAACCCACAGAATATAACACACCTGCTCTGCAACATTATTGTTTGCACAGTAGACTTTACAAGTTGTTTCTAATATTTTAACACTGATTTAACACAACAAATACTGAAAACGGCATCAAAATATATTTTTCAGATGCACTAAATTACGTGATGTCCTTGTATTTGTCTCCAGATCTGCCTCTGCGTCAGGTGGTGGGAGAGGAGTGTGTCGCCTTCATGTTGAACTGGAGGGAGAACGATTACCTGACTCTGCAGGTGCCTCCATCTCTGGTGATGAACAACCCGTACATCAAGGTATAACGTCTGTTTTTAAGCCCTTTACTACCTCATTGTAGCAGCTCCATAGACTGTCTCTTACTCTTACATTAATAGCCAACATAATATCCAAACTACCATGAATCTGCACATGCAGACAGGCATCTTTACAGTTAGTCGCTTTCAATACAGAAAAACACATTTGTCATAATTCAGTAAACAAAACTCTGTAGGTTTGAACAAAGACTTTCTGACGGATGGTTGAAAAGGTCAGGACTGTTGTTATATTTGTCCCCTCTGTTTCCTTCTGATAGCTCGGTCAGCTCCTGGCTTCAACATGCAAAGAGCTCCCAGGTCCTAAAGAGTGTCGCCGCACAGCCAAGGAGCTGTGGGATGTGGTGGTGCAGATCTGCAGCGTGTCCATCCAGCACAAGAGGAACAACGACGGCAGAGTGGGCCTCATTAAACACAGAGAGTCCTCCATGGGCATCCTGCACCGGTACGCTGCAAACATGCCTACAACCTCTTCAGACTTTATAGTGTTTACAATAACAAGCTGTATACAAGCAATACACAAGTGCTCATTCTGGTGTATTTTCATTGTCCAACCCACTTAGGAGCAAATTCATCACTTTCATCAAGAAACTTAGAGTAAGTATCCAATAAAGCAAACTTAAACCCACTGTGGATATATTACATTTCCCCTGGATGAGGTGCTATTGATGGGTTTCATCTTATTTCTCACAGGAGCCGTTGGTGCTGACAACGCTCATCTCACTGTTTGTGAGGCTCCACAGTATTGTGCGGGTATGTTTCTAATTTGAGCTGTCAGATTGTGTATATATAAGATTTTGTGTATACTGTACTGTAGTCTCATAGATTATTCAACAGCAAAACAAGGGGCTAAAATGAAAAAACTCCACAAATGCCACAGTATGACGTTATCAAAATCGGCTCATCTCATTCTCTCGTGGGTGACCAACTGTTTTCTCTTCCTTTAGGATGATATTGTAAATGAAGTGACAGCAGAACACCTCACCATCTGGCCGTCTACTCTTCCAAAGTAAGAACTTTTATTTTTTTTTCTTAAAGGACCAGAGTGTAGGATTTAGTGGCATCTAGCCGTGAAGTTAGAACCATCTGAATAACACGTCACGCTTTAACACGTGTAGCGAAGACAACTACGGTCGGCCGGGAAACTGGACCAAAAATATGCGACTTTTGGGTTTCTGTCCGTTCTGGCCTACATGCTAGAAACATCGCTGGTTTCAACCATGCGGCCCTCTGTCAGATAACAAACGCTCATCTAAGCTTAACGAAAACACAATGCCATTACGTATATTTAAGTGATTACACCACTAATGAAACATACCTATGATTATTATCATCTTTTCTGCCAAAGATCCTCCTAGATGTTTTCACAACTGGACTTTTAATGCGACAATGTTAAGTCTTAAACAGACCAACGCTGAACCAAGTCGCTTTGTGCTGCTTTTGTCGTCCAGCACATGACACGGCCAGTAGATGGAAGCTGTGGCTGTGCACGGTCCCAAAGAGCGGTGTCCTGTGCCCTCCCCTGCGAACCTAAATCAACCAGTCGTGGCCACTCACAAGGCCGATCTACACTTTGGTAAGTGCAATCAAGGCAGACAGTTAGGTTTTTCCTGCTTTAATGAATTAATACAACCTTTGCTTTTTCCAGCTCAAAAAACCAGGAGTGCAGCGCCATTCATAAAGGAGGACAGCTGATTTCTTTACTCAAGCCCATGTCTCTGTACTGAACATGTAGGTTTGTGGGTGTGTTGTGGTTGTATACGGCTGTGTGTGTGCTGTGGTGGTGTAGGTGTGTGGTGGTGTGTTGTGTAGTGTGATGCGTGCTGTGTGTTGCTGTAGGTTGCTGGTGTTGTGCTGGTGTGTAGTGTGCGTGTGTGTGTGTAGGTGTGTGTGCTGTGTGGTAGGTTTTTGTGTGAGGGTGTGTGTGTCGGTGTGTAGGTTGTTGTGTGCTGCGTGAGTGTAGGGTGTTGTCGTGGTTGTGTCTAGTGTGTGTTGGTAGTGTGCTGCTGGTGTGTAGGTGTGTGTGTGTGTGGTAGTGGGTTTGTGTTGCTGTAGGTGTGGTGGTGTGTGTAGGTGTGTGTGTGTGCTGCTACGGTGTTGTGAGGTGGTGTGTGGTGTGGTGTGTGTGTGTGTTGTGTGTGTGATTTGTGGTTGTGTGTGTGTGTGTGCTGTGTGGTGTTGGTGTGCTGTGTGTGTGGTGTGTGGGGACAGACCACAGAACATACAATACACATGAAGAAAAAACATAGCAAACTGCGATGCATGGTCTGCGCTTTTCGGGGGGGAATATAAAATTAAACGACGCTGCTGTGCCTCTTCACACAAAAAAATATGTTGACAACTTCAAACATATTAACTTCTTGTTCTTTATGACCGGCATATACACAGAAAACAAGGAGAAGAGAGACGATAATAACCACACGCGCTGTGGGTTATACAACTGAACCCGCGCTGTGGCAAACACCGAACATCTGGCTGCTAAATTGGAGTTGGAAACAGTTTAAAAAAAAACAAAAAACATAAACAACAGTTTTACCCAGAAGTCTGTTTGACTAGAACCTTTTTGTCTGTCTCTGTCCATAGTGACCAATCAATACTCTGCTGCACTGAACCTTTACCTCCAGGCTGGAGCTGTGAGCTCAGACTTCTTCACCAAAGCTGTTCCCCCTGATGTTTACACTGACCAGGTTACTCACTGCTTTTGATCACACCTACATTCACAATGTACAGCAACAATTTAAAATTAGTTATTTACAAAATACTACATATTCTACGATCGCAGTACAATAATGTACAAACAACAGAAACTTAACATACTTTAGTCAGTGTGAATTGCAGAGACTTAAGAGACGTAAAAACGGATCAATCCTCTGATTACTGACTGTTGTTTGCAGGTCCTGAAGAGGATGATCAAGTGCTGTTCAATGATGAACTGCCACACACAGGTCAGAGCTCCAGTTTCCCCTTCTTAAAACAAAAATACAATTATTGTACCTGCTAATCACAACCAGCTCTTGATGTCCTGGTGGTAAAATGGTGTAATTAGTATGTCTGTGTTTGTGGAAATCAAAAGTATTGTTGTATTACTGAAATAAACCCGATTGTCTCCCATTCTCATCAGGTTGCTGTTCTCTGTCAGTTTCTTCGAGAGGTGGACTACATGACGGCGTTTAAAGCTCTTCAAGAACAGAACAGGTATGACACGGCAAGACGCACTGAACAGTAACGACCAACAGCATTATTCTGAGCATCTCTGACTTCTTCTCTTTTGTCACCAGTCATGATGCCATGGACTCGTTCTACGACTACATCTGGGACGTCACCATCCTGGAATACCTCACACGTATCCTTTGTTCTCTTTCAGGCCCTTATACTAAAATAATTCTGTAAAGAAACACTGTTAACTACAATGTCCTTTTTAATTCTTCCTTGACTGTGTTCAGATATTCACCACAAACGAGGAGAGACTGAGAAGAGACAAATAGCGGTAAGCAGTTCAAACCCCACAGTTAACATTGTTTTTGGACAGAGATAAAACAATAAAATGTTCAACTTTAAAAAAAAAAAAGGTTCATTATATCATATTTAATATGAATTAACAGTAGCTTGTTCATTTGGAACCAGAAAAGCTTTTCATGCATTTTCCAGATGGTTCACTGGGTTTTTAAAAGTTTGTTCTCAGCTCCTACAGAAGCATTTAATCCTTCAGTTCATCTGAAATTCACATTTGGTTTTAGTGTTTGCATGTGACATTAGCACAGTAAGCATTCATTTGGTGATTAGCAGCTTAAGACACATCTAGGTTACAACTGGGCTGAGTTGTTATTATATAAGTATATTTTAGGGTTACACTGATACTCACCTTCTAATAACTGACATACCTCTCACATCTTGGAAGAGAAACAGACTGAGCTGCAACAAAACTGGCACAAAGGGCGAATAAATAACAAAAAAAAGCTCTGCCAAATTGTTATTTTAAGCAATATCGTCCCAGAATTTCCCCATCGGTCCCTCCCTACTATATTTCAGCGTATAGTTATGAGTCTGCTTCACAAAAATGCTTGAGATCTCAGACAGTTGAACTTTTCAACCAAATCGTTCGTATCTCCAAGTCGGTGCTTACTCAGAGGCTGCATCAGTTTCCGAACTCTCTGCTCTTCCTCAGGTAAAAGCGATCGGACAGGCAGAGCTGAACACCAGTAACCCAGAGGAAGTGCTGCAGCTGGCTGCACAGAAAAGGAAGAAGAGATTCCTGCAGGCGATGGCCAAACTGTATTTCTAGGACACACGTGAACCACTGTCAGACTTTTGGGGGGGTTGGGAATGTATATTTTATTTTGTGGTAGAAAATAATTTCTAAATAAATACAGTTGCTCATTTGTACACTTGGAATCACTTCGAATGAATTCTTAAAAGAAAATAAATAAAAAAGAAAAAAAAAAAAAACACTGACTATCCATTACCCTGAGTGAAACAATAGCTTGGTTACAACAGCATTGTAAAGATAACTGACTCATGAACTGAAGAGTGTGCACTTTCCATTCTGACGCATGGCTTTCATCAGGGTTCACGAAAGTGTATACTCGTCCTGAACAGGAGGGTTTCCAGGTTTTCTTTTGGAGATCAGCCGACAGCAGTCCACTCAAACAGCAATTCAACTGATCCTGAAGCAGTGTTTAAAAGATTTTATCTGCTGACTGTACATATTAAATATGCTACAGATGTAAATAATTGCACATCACTTTCATTAATAGAACATAATTTCCTAGAAATGACGCTTACAGCAAACATTGACACTTTTTTAAAAAACATTTCTTTTCTGAATTAAAAAGCACCTTGTTGCTAAAAATCAATAACAAAAAGCTTTGGCTAAGAGTCTTTAAAATACAGGCCCATTAGCCTGGGTAATGCATTCAGTGACAAACTGAAACTCCCATCCAGACTCGAGCCGTCTCCAGTAAACAGGTCTTTGCGGGACCTTAAACCCGTGTCCTCTTTGTCTACACTCACTTCAGTGTCTTCTCCTTGTAGTTCAGTGTATATAGGTTTTCCCTGTGCTGTTGGGAGGAGTGAGGAACTGGCTGTTCACTTCCTTTTTACTGGCGTAATCCTAAAACAAAAAGAGGTTTTAAGTCAGAAACCAACAATAAAGTAGCATCACTGAAAATGTAACTAGGTTTTGAAGTTAAAAAGATGCAGCTCAAAGAAATCAGTCCTAATTCTGCTCTTCCTCCTTGTGTTCGGGTTGTACAGTATGCACAAACTCATTAAGCATAAAACTGAATAAAAAGCTGATTTAGGAAATGGACTTAGAAATGGAATATAATATTCATAGGGATGTTTTAATTAATGTAGAATCACCTGAAAATGTAAGTTTTTGTTACCTTAGGGTCATTTATTTTGGGATGGTACAACAAATGTTTCAGCCTGTTCTACACCTTAATTATTGCAGTTATAATCCTGTACAGGCGTTAAGGAGTGACTTTGTTTGGGTGGCCAGACAGAAAAGAGAGCTTGAATGCAGCTGCCATGTGGCAAAGCATCATGGGATAAGCTCACCATATTACCTTTAATTTTCCCTAGAATTCAATCACATGAAAACATTTAACTCTTGTTCCTGAGGTTGAATGCACTTATTGAACAGAAGCATGAGCCAAATGAATGTAATGTAACATCCCAACAAGTAGAACAAGAGAAATACTAACCAGCATGGTCATGTAGTCTGTGTGCGTCTGGATGTTGTGCCTGTCTTCAGTCTTTATTTTGGCAAAATCCTTCAGTGTCACTCTGCCAAACCAGCTCATGGATTCAACATAGGGAGCCATCCAGTTCACACACAACTGGGTGGCGTCTTTCGACAGACCTGAACACAAAAACAACAAAAAATAAATAAATATTTACATGCACTGGGTAACCTTGCTGTGGGTCACACTGTAGTTCAGCTCATGATATTTTTTGATCACCGCTCAACCAATGATGATATAGTTTGTGCCATTAATACTAGAATATATAACTGATGACTTAAATACCAGAATTACACACAAGAACCTCAGCTTCATGTTAAATTCAGTGTTTCACACAGATTTCTCCATTTATATTTACATTTCTATAAAACGTAACAATCCCTAATCTTACCTGAAACCTTTTCAACTGTTTCCGGTTGAATGAAATGGGACAGGACCGAGGCAGCCAACACTCGATACTGGAAGTCCAGAGAGTTTATGTCGAGGATACACAGGTCTAAAAGCTAGAAAAGTCAAAAAGGCAGAAGAGAAACAACAGTATTAGTTATGAGTCAGACTTAAACTGAAGGAATTCATCATTCAGTATTTATAAACTTCCTTCCTTTCATTATCTTTAAGTTGGGAGACGTAAATAGGCGACTGTATCATTGACAAGAAGGAAACAAGTACTGACATTTGTCTAATTAGCTATGAGAGTGGATGTAGAAAGATAAAGAAAGCTCTGACGGGGTAGCAGCGATGTCATAGGAGAGGAATCTTCCAATAAATCCAATAAAACTGATAGAAAACCCTTGAAATGTTTGTTTGTGTTGAAACCATGCCAGAAGGTTTCTAACTCAGCTTTGAGCCAGAGGTTTGTGTCAGTATGTGTTTTTAAAAAAAGGAGACAATCCTCCCAAAACCTACACGTGTCATTTGTACGTAAGCGTCGTGTGGAAACTGCGACTCCAGCAGGTCAGAGTTGGTGTTCATCGATGCCATCTGGAAGTAAAGCTTCAGCCAAGACACGGCTGTTTCGGGACAAAGGTTCCAACGCAACGCCTGTAACACGGGTAAAGCAGAATTACGCAAAATTTAAGCCTCTCTATTAATTAATAATCAAGAATAATGAGTTAATGTGGCCACACTTGTAATAGTATTACCTTTAAAATAATTAGCTCCATCTGAAGAATCTCGTCTTCATAGTAGGTCCCTGCAGTCACATAGGCCATCTGTGAGAGCTTTGGAGGACAGGCTTCCTACGAGGAAACCAGGCACAGACATATGCATTAGAAAACGTTCACATAAAATACCTTCAGGATCAAAGAGCCTGGCAAACTCTCAGCTGCTATAGGGAACTATGAAATGAGGTTAGTCTTCAAAGTACATTGAGATCACAGTACACTTTAATTTAGTTTGAATGATCCCTGCCCATTCTTCCTTACCTCCATCTTTGATGCTATAAAAAGACAAGTTATCCCGATGAGCTGCAGCATGCCCTTTTCAATGTTGTTCTGGGTCAACATGAACCGGTCAAAGTAGTCCTGTGCCAGGTAGAATGTCTGCCGATGAAGAGTATAGGCCTCACTCACCTGAAATCAACGGAACAAACAAAAAATCTGTTTTTAATGAGAGATCTAAATTTAAGTGATCGCATGATTGTATTTTAAGCGTTTAAACTGATGCTGTTTGTGCCAAAATATCTGAAGCATACTGGTTTAATATAGATCAAACAGGAAATAACTAATTTGTTTGTGGCAGCCACAGGCTCTAGAGTTGTGTACATTGCTATTTATACATTGATTATACATTGATACCATGAAATGATTGTGCTGCAGCAAGGATGTTAGTTATTTTAGCAAGCATGTGTTTTTAACCTGTTTAGTTCAAGCACAGGAACAATAACTAACTGAAACACATGCAACATAAATTTGAGATGCAGTTGAAGACGCACCTCAATTAACCAGTCGAGGAGGATTGATCTCATTCTGGGTTGTATTCTCGGGTGTTTCTGTATGAAGCTCTTGCTGTGTCTGTAATTCTGCTCCTTGCAGACCATCTTCACCCACACGTCTTCAGCAGATCCCCACCTGTAACATACAGAGAACAGATACAATTAGTCGAGTAATCGATCGTAAGAATATTAATCTGCAGCTATTTTGAAGGCTAATTAGTTGAGGCTATTTTAAAGTAAAAATGATAAACATTTGATTGTTCCTCTTTCTTAGTCTTACATAATAGTCAATTGAACCTCTTTTGACCGACTAACAGTCCAAAACCCAAACAAGACACTTGTTATCTAGGGATAATGTGATGGACATTTTTCAGTTTTCTTGACATTTTGTGGATGATAATCGGGAGATTAAATCAAAATAACACAGAGAAACAGGTCTGGCAGAGGATATCATCAAGAGACAACTGTGAGTCAACTGTGGGAGAATAATGTATGACAATCACCCAAGATGAGGCAGAGGTGATGGCCGAACCAAGGAATCTCCTGAAATGAGAACTTCATCACAGTCGACCCTGACTCCCTTCTCAGAAGCCGCGATGAGAATACAAGGCTTGGCGACACTTTCCAGATGGTTCTGAAATATTGGAGAATATTGAATGAAACATGTGTTTTTATATATAAAAAAAAATTGTGTTGGATACACATTTGTTTGGTTATTTTTTTTCTTTCCTCTGACCCAAGTTAGGTTTTTCGGGAATAGGGAGACTTTTAGTTATTTGTTTTTATTCTTAAGCCATTAAATGTTATGAAATAAAAGAAAGGGACATACCTCCTCACACTGCAGCTTCGACAGGGGCTTTACAAATCTGTTGCTTTGCTGAAAAGATAATCAGACATAAGTTAAGAGGTCAGACCATGTAGAAAATGCTTGACTATATAATCACTCATTAAAGATATGTGGTGTGTGAATGGTTTGTTGGGACTCTTACCTTAGTTACTTTGATTTGGTGCCCTGGAGCATTTTCAGATCTTTTCTGCAGGCGACCACTGCAAAGCAAGAAACTGAACTCAACACGCAGCTGCAGATTTGAAACAGCCCGACAACCAACCAACCAACCAACCACAAAACAGTAATTCACAAAGCAACAAAACAGCTCATACCTTCGTCTACTCATGGTTGTGTCTGCTGCTGTCTGTTAAAAAAAAAAGGGGAACAATTTAAAAGCTAAATTAGTGTTTGTTGACAGCAAAACGAGGAAGTTAGCCCTCAAATGCAAATGATAAAAGGAGCTGAGGCCATCTTGGCTTGCACAAAAACAGACTTCCATTCAAAACCAAGCTCGATAAAAACCCACAAAGCGCGCACAGTTTGATGCATATTTAATGTGCCAACTATCAGGCCTCATCATACGCGCCAACATTATTAATGAGCGCGTAAAATCACCTCTTTGCAGCCAAACACTAATCGATAATCTGATAAAACTTTAGTCTGAGAAGCTGCACATCACCTATAGGGATGTTTCTGACCTCAAAGATCCTGTAGCTGTATGAGACAACACAAACAGCACAAAGACAAGCAGAAAGACCCGATACAAATGCTCCATTAATGCAACAACAACAAAGGCCGAGGGAGGACATTTTGTGCAAAGTATAAAATGCTTTGACTGCAACAGTAACCACACAAACGTCGACTATCAAACAACTCATCATTTATGGTTTATTTGATCACAAGCAGCTAGTTTAATCATGATTCAGATGCATTATAATATAACTTTACGGGTGACCGACCCAAGAAGAAACATGCAGAGGAGTTGAACGCTTTAGTTTACTTATATAAACTCAGATTAAACACACTCTGCTTCCTCACCAGAAAGAAAACACACGTTTATAAACCAAACATTGTGCACTTTAATCTGGTTAACGTTGTCTAGCTCTGATGCTACAGTGCTAAACACAACCACTCGGAGTTACTGAACGAAAACCAGCAAAATAACAAACCGGCTGCTGTTTTAACTGAAGCATAACTTTACATACCAGCTCATAAATGACCCAGAAGTGGTTCACAGCTGTAATGGTGAAACTACAGAGCTGAAGAACCGTGCTAACTGCACAGAAACACTAATGTTTGGACTTACCTTCCTCGGTTCCGAGCCCGAAATTAAAATACTTGGCGCCAACTAATGTTGGTTTGCTGCACAATGCGCATGTGTACAAACGCTCCCTAAAAGAGGCTACGACCTTATATTAACTGTCAGTGGTTACACATTAAATTAATTAAACTATTGTTTTTTTTATCTCCTTTGTTTTAGTTTCAACCGCTGAGACTGTTTTTTGTTCTTTAACAGTAACTATCTGAACTAAAAACTCACTAGATAAACCGTCGTTTAGTGCAAAACGCAGATTAACATTACTCCAATTAATTCAAATATTTGTAAGTAATATAATAACACAAAACAATACGTGTTTATTGCTTTAGAAACATGCATTAAACAACATAATTATCTCTTTCTGTTTTGTTTTTGTCTGTTGTATTTTCCGGTCGTCCTGTGATGGGCGGGGCTATAAACCCGGACAGCCAATAGGAGAGAGAGTTGAGTTGAACGCGTGCTCCTGGACCAGGATGTAAACAAAGCAGAGAGCTGTGAGAGGAGAGTCGCACTGCTCTCCTCTCTTTGACTTGTGTTTGTGAATAGTGTTCGTGTTCATATGAAACACAGTGTGTGTGTGTTTTCTGAACGGAAAACAGCCACATTTGTTTTTACTAAAAGACACTTACAGAACACTTGGGCCTAAATATGCTCCACCACTTGAAGTAATGTCGCCCCCAACTGGTTAAAAGTAGCTTTAGGTTGTCAAGCTTGTGTATAATGATGTATTTTACTTTTTCAGGGATTAAAGTTCATAGAGCAGTTTTAAATTTAAATAAATGAGGCATACACACTAATATTTTGAAGGGGAACATTTAGCAGGATCTATTGGCAGAAATATAATATGATA